TAAATAAGTCTATTCTCATGGTTGGAGCTTGGAAGTGATTATGTTTGCTTGATGGGTTAAAATTGGTCATTATGGACAGGTTATTGGCTGCTATTTTTAGTTAAACCTTGTTCAGTGAAGTTTGACATGACACAGCTAATGGCCCATAAATTTTTTTTCTCTTTTTCTTTTCAACAAAGCTTTCAACCAAATAATTTCCATTTCTCAAGTGTAAAATTAAGTTTGCCGACATATTTATTTTTATTATAAACTACAAGTTAAATAAGTTGAGTTTGAGTTGAATATACAGGGAACAATCTTAAGTAGTGGGCTCTCTTATAAATTCCAACCAAATCAAGCCATAAATATTATGAGTGTAAGCGGATAAAAAAAAACCAATTAAATTGATGAATTAAATTAAATTGAAAAAAATTGAATTTTTTGGTTCGGTTCAAAAACCAAATTGAACCGATGAAAATCAAAGTGATTTAGTTTAGTTGTCGATTTTGTTGAGTGCCAACCCAAGTCCAACCCTTATCATCTCTTTTTTAAGAGCCATCAAGTAACAACTAAACCTAAGTCACGAACTGCTCTAGCTAGCCGCAACCGTCGTTCTACTGCCTTCGTATTTCAAAATTTCTTGGTTTGTTTTCGTACCTTGAATATATATAATCACTTCTTTGTTCAATATTATATTTTACTAGAATGATATGTCATTGTTAAATAATGTATGCATTAATAAAACATATCATATATTCAACTGTAGATCTTTAAGTCATATTTTTCATGATATTAAACTCATTCAATTTCGGTAAAGATAATTGAGCCTTTCATTGTTCGATATTGTAACAACAACAACCTTCAAACTAAGTATTTTACTAGAATGGTTTTATACTTTATATTGTATAGCTTACTATAGATTAATAAAACACTAGCTTACTATAGATTAATAAAACACAACACAACGGAAACACAATTTACAAACATAATGGAATATAAATTTTGAATTGTTTTTCAATTGCGGTTACAATGGTAATAATTCACATTTAGAATACCATTAAACTAAGTGCATGTCTACGTAGTAGCTAATATAGAAAATAATTGTATGTTTAAAATTTTCGGACCACATATTTCAGTAAAATATAAAAATAATTTAATAAAAGGTGATCTTACTCTTAGTTGTTTATAATTTTGCGTTAGTTAATTGAAAATTGAAGTAAATGGCAAGTGAAAGTGTCACAACAAGCAACACACAAGTTGATTCTTCTACAATAAGGGAATCGATCCTTCCTCCTACAAATGTCATTATTCAATGAGAGCAACAAGAACTTCAAGCTCAAATACCAACGCAACTAGGAACAATCGAAGGTACAATTCTAAAAGAGACAAATGTACTAAAGAGAAAACCTAGTAGACTCCCTTCTAATGCTTGGTTATACTTCACAAGGGACAATGATAAGGCTACATGTATATTTTGTAGTAAAGTTTATGCATGCAATAGTTCTAAGAATGGAACTTCTAACTTGAACAAACACCTTTTGAAGTGTCCTAAAAACTTAAATAGAGAATCCGATAAGAGACAAAAAAACAATTTTCCTTAGAAAAGATAATGAAGATGACCTTAATAGCACAATTAGCTTTAAACTTGTCAAATTTAGTCAAGAATTGACACGATTAGCCCTTGCAAAGATGATAATTATGGATGAGCTTGCTAAACATGTCGAAAATGAAGGATTTAGGTATTTTGTTAGTGTGACTTGTCCTAAATTTAAAATTCTTACTCGTGTCACTGTTGCTAAAGATTGCATGCTTTTGTATAATGACGAAAAATAAAAGTTGAAGAGCATATTGTCTACAAATAAACAAATGGTTTCTCTTACCACTGATTGTTGGATATCGGTGTAAAATTTGAATTATATGTGTGTAAGTTATCATTACATTGACGAAGGGTGAGAGTTGAATAAGAAAATATTGTGTTTTAATCTGATTTCAGATCACAAAGGGGAAATAATTGGTAAGGATGAGGAATTAAAAAGTTTGTTGTGTAACTGTTGATAGTGCAAATGCTAGTAATGTTGCGCTGACATATCTAATTAGAAGAATGAGTGATTGGAATGTGCATACTTTATTAAAAGGAGAGTACATGCATATAAGGTGTACGACACACATTTTAAACTTGATTGTTAGTGATGGGTTGAAAAAAATTGATGAATCCATTATCAAGGTAAGGGTTGCTTGTAAGTTTGTTAAGTCATCTCCAACTAGATTAGCATCTTTTATAAGGTGTGCACGTGAGTGTAACATAGATAATAAGACAATGATAGCACTTATGTGACAACAAGTTGGAACTCCACTTATTTAATGTTAAAAGTTGTTGTCAAATATGAAAAGGTATTTAACTGACTTTGATATCAAGAGAATTCATTTAGTTTGTTTTTTGCTAGTGAAGGAGTGAACGTTCCTATGAATATTGATTGGGAACATGCTCGTGTTTTTGTGAAAATTTTGAAGGTATTTTATAATACAACTCTTTCATTTTCTGGTTCATTGCATGTTACTATTAATACTTTTTTCAAAAAATTATACGATATTGAGAAGTCATTACATAAATGGTCAAATAGTGAGGATGATGTATTGAGATCGATGACTACAAATATGCAACAGAAGTTTAATAAGTATTAAGATAGTGATGTTATCAACTATTTGTTGTTTGTGGCTGTTTTCTTAGATCCTCGTTATAAATATGATTACATAGAGTTCTGCTTTAATAAGATGTATGGTAGTGTAAAGGGTAAAGATATGCTGAAAACATTGAAATAACTTGTCCAAAAATTATTTGAGTATTATGAGGTTGAGTATCATGTTTCTATTATGCCTAGTAGTGCATCCTCAAGCTATTCTACACAAGCTAACACAAGTCAATCTATTGCTGAACATGATGATGATGATGGTGTAGATTGGGATGATGTTTTTAGTTTGAAAATGAAGCAAAAACAGGTTGATCTAAAAAAGAGTGAGTTAGAGAGGTACGTTGGGGTTGAAAATGAAGATTGCAAGGATCTTTTATTTGATATTTTGGGTTGGTGGAAAGGAAAATCTACAAAATATTATGTTCTTTCTTGCATGGCTAGAGATAGCTATACACGTGTCTACCGTTTCCTCTGAGTCAGCTTTTAGTACATGTGGTCGAGTACTTGATCAATTTCGTAGTTGTTTGAATCTCAATATTGTTGAAGCGCTGATTTGTACCCAAAATTGGATAAGAAAGATCAAGGTGTTTGAATTACGAGAACAAATAGATGAAATGCAACAACTTGAAGAAGATATGAAAATTTAAAATCTTTTTTAATGTTTACTTTATTAATGACATGGTCAAACTAATCTTTTATAGTTTGTGCGCATGTTTTAATTTTTAGAAATTGCTGGAATACGTCTAACTAGTGGTGAGGTTAACAATGATGGAGTGACAATATAATATGAATGAAGCAATCTAAAGTTGAATTTAATTTAATATTTTCAAATTAAAAATAAATTCAATGTTCTATATTCTAACTTTGTGTTTATTTGAATTTATTTTAGGATGGTGAAATGACGATTCAAGTGGAAAAGAAATTAAATTTTATTTTAATCTTATTTTGTTATTTGATGGTGAACTAATGAACTTGGTTTTATTTTGTATTTGATATGATGATGATTTTATTTTAGTTGTATTAGTCATTGGCAACTGTCAACTTTTGTATCGGGTGGTAAACATATTTTGGTTGTATTAGTCACTTTTAAGCGCCAACTTTAATATGTGACGATGAACTTATTTTTGGTTTGAAAAAATAATAGCAAAAATATATTTTAAAAATGAACAAAAAATACACATGAATATAATGTTTGAAAAAAACGTGGTAAACCTATCAATCAAACCAAATCAAACCAATTCATTTACTTCGATTTCAATTTTAAAAAATACTAAAAATTAAATCAAACCAAATCGAAAGAGATATTTATAGTTGAGATATTTTTTTAACTAAAATCAGTCCAAATTGAATTGATTAAACCCCTAATAAATATAATAATTCCAACAAAATCAAACCATAAATATAATAATTCCAATACTTCACCGAGTAAAGATTTCTTATAAATTTCAGATATTAAATTATTATGTGTCTAAATATAAAATTTTTTACAAATCAATCCATCATAATTATTATTATTATATATTATTAAAATATTAAAATCTACTTTATTTTTAATTGATAAATTAATAATAATATCAATGCATTTTATTTAAAATTTTTAAAACATTATAGTAATAAATTTTTAAAAAAAGTGTTTTTTTATATTATTATTTTTAGTAGAAAGAAAATAAATTATTATTTTTAATTAATTATAATTTTTATTATAATATCAAATATAAAGAAGTTATTAGCGATATGTTATGGGGGTGTTTAAAGTTTAAAAACAAGATTTCTGAGAATATATAAATAAAAAATGAATATATTACTTATATTTCTTACAAATTTAAAAATAATTATTTTAAAAAATAAAAATAAAATTTTTTTTCACAACTTCTCATATTTTCATATAAAAGAATGGTAAATTTTAACGGAATTTTATAAACTCTTTTTAAAAAATTAATTAAAATTATAATTTTTAAAAAAATATCAAATTACCAAATATTTTTTTAAAAAAATTCCTTAAAATAAATTTTCTATCATTATTTTCTTAAATAATTAATTCCTAAAAATAAACTTTGATTCGTGAAACAAACTCTCCCTAAAAGTGAATAAATGAAGAAAGAAAGAGTAGGTTAGAATTTGTGTGTTGTGGTGGCATTCGCACAGGCCATGTGTACCAGTGGCCCACTCCATTTGCAGCAACAGCCGTAACCAAACCCTTCTCCATTTCATTTCACAGTAAAATGCATGCTATTCCGTTCTTCCACCTCTTTCTAAAATCTACTCCTCTTAAACTAACTACCACTGTTTCATTATTCAAACCTCCAATCGAATTGAACAAACCCTAGAAATATGGCGAAGAAACGCGTCCCCGATTGGCTCAACAGTCCTATCTGGACCTCCCCCTCCGACCACCACCGCTTTTCCGCCTTTCTTGACCCACCGGAACCTCCCTCTCCACCCCCTGTCACCATTCAACAAGATCCTCCCTCAACCAATCACAATGGCATTGTTACTTCGTCTCACTCTTCTTCTTCATCCAACGCTTCTACTTCCTCCGCCGATGATATGTCCGTATCTCGCCGGGCCCAGTGCCAGGCCCAATTGTTAACCGAGGTAGCTTTCGTTTCACTCCATCATCGTTGTTGTTGAGTTATGATAATTTTCCTAACTCTTTCGTTACTGTTAGTTATCTAGGAAGGTCATAGATATGCGGGAATTGAGGACAATTGCTTCTCAAGGGATACCCGATGTGCCTGGTTTACGTTCTACTGTCTGGAAGGTACCTTCTTTTCTAAGCCTTGCTATTTGAATAATTTAATTAAGGGTTTATAGCTTAATCTTTGTTTATCATATAAGTGTTTATCTATAAGCTATTTCTATAACATAACACCTAAGTTTGAGCTTATGGAAATAAGCTGAAAACAATTTATGAACATGTCATATACTGTTCAATGTTCATACTATCCCTCACAAGTATTTATGTTAGTAATAATAGGTAAGCTTAAATAACTCAATTCAAATAGGCCCCGGGCAAAAAATCAATGTATATTGATGTTGCAACTTGCAATCTATTTGTGTATTTTTTGCAGCTTCTGCTAGGGTATATACCACCTGATCATGCCCTCTGGTCCACTGAATTAGCAAAGAAGAGGTCACAATACAAACGTTTCAAACAAGATATTCTTATCAATCCTGTAAGTTAGTGGGTTTTGTTGGTTATTCTAACTATTGAATATTCTATTTGCTTTGTCTACTTAGCCCCCGTCTGAATATTTTTGTGGCTAGTTAGTCAGAAATCACGAGGAGGATGTGGGACTCTGCTAATTATGATGCTGACGATGTCAAATGTGAGACCAGGTGCATGCTTTCTAGATCACAAGTCCCTCACGGGGAACATCCTTTGAGCCTTGGCAAGACCAGCATTTGGAATCAGTTTTTCCAGGTACCTGTCTATGCAATTGCAAACTATTTTCTAAATTTAAAATTCATCCGTTCTTCCCTTCTGTATGAACTATGTTTATGCTGCTTTGCACCACTGTCTTAATCATAATTACTGTATTCTCTGTTGTGAGGTAAGCTTCTAAACTGTTTTAGTATATGCTATGCAAGTTCTTCATGTCACGTCTTATTTTATTTGTACAATAACACAGGGTCTTCAGCTAATTATATTTATCAAACACGCTGCCACATACAGCTGATGTTCTTACTGTAATTGATATTTTAATTTTGAAAAATGCTAATGAGTGCCCTTAGTGCATTGTTTAGGTAATCAAAAGTGGTAACTCCCACTTATTACGTTTACTTTTACATATGTTTTGACTTGTATTTTCAAGACTATTTATTTTTATGAATACCTTAAACAATGGCCTCAGGGCACTTGTTAGCATGACCCTTTAATTTTTCATAAAGTTAATGCTCCTTTTTATGTCACAAACTAATCTGAATGTATCTCATAATGTACTATATTCTGGGCTGTGAAGGGCTATTGTGATAGTAAATGTTACAGTTTGTGTGTTTTAGGATACCGGTATCATGGAGCAGATTGACCGTGATGTGAAGCGTACTCATCCAGATATGCACTTCTTCTGTGGTGATTCTCAATTAGCAAAATCTAATCAGGTTGTTCCTTTGTTTCTTTTGAAACTCATGCAAACTTAGTGACTGAAACCTTTTTCTTGTCATGAATCTTTTGAATTGATTTTCTTTTCTGGGGGCATTTTCAGGAGGCCTTAAAGAACATATTAATTATTTTTGCAAAGTTGAACCCAGGTATTAGATATGTTCAAGGGATGCATGAAGTATTGGCTCCTTTATTCTATGTGTTCAGAAATGATCCGGACGAGGAAAATGCAGTGAGTACATATCCTTGCAAGCTCCCTTCCACTCTCCCGCCTCTCTTTCTCTTTAAGTTTGAAAATGTATTATTGCTTTCCGAGAGAATTAGAACATAAAATATTGTCAAATTTATAAAATTCAGCTTTCTCATTTACATAAATGAAAGGATATGAAATGATTAATATTTCCATGGGAATGTTGATGGGCTTTTTGTTTTCAAAAATAGTTTCTCAGATAGCAGTGGTTGAGTAATGTAAATTCAGGTTACTCATGTTACATTCTTTTAATTTTGTCAACTGTTGCCAATTATTATACGCAGGCCTTTTCTGAAGCCGACACATTCTTTTGTTTTGTTGAAGTAATGAGTGGATTTCGAGATAATTTTTGTCAACAGCTTGACAATAGTGTTGTTGGAATTCGTTCGACTATAACTAGATTGTCTCATCTTTTGAAAGAACACGATGAAGAACTATGGCGTCATCTTGAGGTCACGACCAAAGTAAGACGTGTTTTTAAGTACATGTTCTATCTAAATATAACAAAACCATTTTAATAATTTGAGATGGGAGAAGCATTTAGTGGCAATAAAAGATTCGAGAATCACAGTTTTTGATTAACTCAATTTGGTTGGCACATGAATGATGAGGATAATGTCCTGTGCAGCTGTGCTCGGCATTGTTTAATTTTTGTTTATTTTTAAAAAATATTTTCAGATCTGCAATATTAATAAATGTTAAATTAACTAGAAAGTGTGTTTCTGTTCGTAGACATAGGAAGTTACGAATACTAGAACCACAGATAGTTATTAATAACAATAACAGTCCAGTAGACAGTTAATTGTGAGAGGTGGTGGGAATAAATAGGGAGGAGGGGAAGTTTGTTAGATTCTTCTTTTTTGTCTCCTCCTACACAATTGAACACCTGCAAGGGATTTTCCATTCTCCGCATTCTTTATCTCCTCCGTGCCTAATTGTATATCTTCTTGATACTGCCTAGTGTTAGACACCAGAGTTGGATAGTATTGATACTGAAGTAAAACTAATCAGAGAAATAATTTATGTTACTGTATAGAAGGAAAATTTAATGGAAAACTATGGTAGTGATTGGATCAGATCTCCTTGCAGAATAGAAATAAGAAGAACAGTGACTATAAAACTCCCTCTTCGGGGAAGACCCTTGTTCTCTGCGCAACCAAGCCAGATACTTCTTACTCGTGATTTTTCATACCCCTTTTTCCCCCTTCAATATGCCTTATCTCCTCTCCTTGTCCTCCTTTCTGATTCTTGAATCTTTTTTTTTTTGCCAGTTAATTCTGTTATAACCTTCCCACTTTGTGTCTGTTTTACTACTGTTTTTCTGTATTTGAGAATGTGCTTATTAGTTGTTGTGCGGTCAATTATAAAAATCTCACATTTCTGTTTCTAAATATCAGGTCAACCCCCAATTTTATGCATTTAGGTGGATTACTCTCCTCTTGACTCAGGAGTTCAATTTTTCTGAGATCCTTTGGATTTGGGACTCCCTTTTAAGTGATCCCAATGGTCTACAGGTACAAATTTATTCCATTCTACCTTGTATTGTTAGGTTATAGGTTATTTGAAAATATCTTGTAATATCTTGATTGTATCTTATATTGTTTTTTAGTGACTTAGATGGTCTTAGGGTTAGTTGATTATAAGCGATGATTTGTAGTTAAGTTACTTTTCGATAGCAAATATGAAGCAAAGGAATTGGCTCCTATTAATAGCGTCCGTGATGCCGAACTGCTCGTGATGGCTTTTCTGATTGCGGACGCTCCTGGGATAGCGCCGCTATCGACTGCTATCGATAACTCTGAGACAAATAAGGAACCACCCCAACCACCATGAAACTCTCCTAGGACTCCTCCAAAAGATGCCTGCAACAAAAGGGAATGGTTTTGAAAAAAAAAAACAACGCAACACTCCATTTTTCCTTCAGCAAAGAAGATAATTTTATTACTTCATACTGCTTGTGCTGGATAAATGTTGAATTATTGATCTGTTCATTCAGTGTTTCACTCCTTACTATACATTATAATGTCTATCCTATTTCAACCTTGAAAAAATATATACACTGAATGTTATAGGATCCTACTGTGAAGGAAAGATGGTTGGTTAGTCACGATGTTGGATGGTTTTATATATTTATAGAATAAAGTCATATGCTCCTTCATTTTGTGTTGTACTTAATTGTGCAAGCCGGGGTATATTACAACTTACAAGTCATGTGTTTTTCGTGACATTTACTATTAGATTCATTTTATCTCAAATTGTGTATTGAGAAAAGCATGGGATTATGTGTTTTGTTTTTTTACCAAGTACCTTGCAATTTTTTTAGTGGAAATAGAACAACTGGAACTAACTCTTAGTACTGTGTAGGAGACACTTCTCCGGATATGCTGTGCAATGCTAATTCTCGTTCGGAGGCGCCTCCTTGCGGGTGATTTCACTTCTAATCTCAAATTGTTGCAAAGTTATCCTTCTACAAACATTAGTCATTTGCTCCATGTTGCCAATAAGTTACGTGTACAGTCAGTGTAATGGTTTTCCCAACAGTTTTATTTTCTTTTTTCATTTTGTTTTAGCCTTCTACGTAGCTTTTCAATTTTATGTTTGTAATTACTATGTAAATGTTGGTTAAAAGCAACAACTGGTATTGTTTTATACTCTTTTTTTTTTTCTTTTTAAAATTTTGTTTATTGTAAATTTGTAAGCCTAAAGTTACCATATCTTGGTGAAATTCTTTTGTATTAATTTCCTACTTTAAGTTGCATTGTGTGTTCTTGATGGATGATGGCTTAGTTTTCAAAATTTTGGCCGCTTATCACTCACCTAACTATGCAATTCTTTTATATTTGGTCAAATGACGAGATATGACAACATAATTTATATTTGTGGATACTCCACCCAAATCTGCCACGAGTTTGACAGAGTTTGAAAGAGAAAATCCGTTTGACAACATAATCGTATTTGTGGACACCCATCCAAATCTGTCCTGAGTTTGGTAACATGATCATTAGTTAATTGCTCCAATTCATATTGAAATTTTTTTAATGTATTCTAAGTGTTTCAAAATTTTCAAATGTGTCTTTAGGAATTGAAAATGTATTTCTGGTGCGCACCTATTATATGAAAAAGCATACAAATCAAAAGTATATTTACGGTTTTCAAATCGATGTTGTATTTTCGGTTACACTTTAAATGAACTAAATAGTTACACTCTGAGAAGCCACATCCTAACACGTTGATACGAACTGCAGTTGCATTTTCAATTTCAAACACGATTTTTCAAAGAAAAGGCGTGTCCCGAAAATGCACTTCCAAAGGAGTGAGGGATGTGTCTTCATCATCTTCAATAACCTCTAGGATCTCAACGGTTGATTTCTGTTTCCTTGGAGTTAGAGGGGGCTTTCGACTAACCTGTAAAAAGCAAAGGAATGAGTAGAAATATTGCAACATAAGAAGAAAATGAAATGCCGAGCTATACCTTAGATTTTGTCTTTGGTTTTTCGATGTTTGGGATAGCACTCTTCGACGAAGTAGTAGTTTTCTTAGGTTCATTTATCGATCCTGTCACTGAAGTAAGTTTTTCTTTCTTCGCTTGTTTCATGATCGAGAGATCCTTTGGTTCCAAACCTTCACGTTCTGAAGAAAGCACCGTGACCTGATTCATGTCAATGTGAAGGAAGCATTTGAAACTGTCCAGTGTATGCTTAGTCGAAACCACTCGTTCAGTAGGTTTTTTAGACTGTTGTTTTAAAAAGCTAAATAATTTCCACAGACAAACCAGTTTGGATAAGGAGGATAAAATGCCAGGCCAAAATCAGCACTGGACAATTTTGGGAATTTTGGTGGTTCGAGCTTGAAAGCTGAGTCATACCTAACTTCAGGTTTGACACATGCATGAATATTTAAACGAGGAAGCATTTTCGTAAACTTCTCTTTTAAAGTTTTTGCTGCGTTATGTATGGTTTGACTAAGATTAGTTGGGCTATAAACAGTTTTAAATTACTTTTGGAACACCTGGATTTCTTTGATGTGTGTTTGCGTTCGTTTCTTGACTTGATCCTACACAGAGGCAAAAACTTTTGTCAGATGCTGGTAGAAGAGGGTTGTGTTGAACATGTTTCTAAAATAATATTTCTTTCACCAAGAATCGAAGTCTTTTGTGCAGTAGAAGGATGTGTGAAAAGGGATTGGGGTAAACTCAACAAAGTTGGCATAACGAGCCACACATTTATCTCTATCGGAAAGGGAAAAATTCATTTCATGGATGTAGAGTGCGTTTTTCCTTTCGAAGAGTGGTTCGCGGATAAGTTGACAAAGTCCAAATCATCGAGAGACAAAACTGGGTTGATAAGCAAGTAAACATATATGACTTTTTATGGGCATACGTCTTATGACAATCAACCTAGAGAGCAAAAAGGCTTTCCAGACGTCTAAGGTTTCTACCTCTTGAGTTGGCAAAATGTCATAAAGAGACCTTACCTTGTAAACCATTTAAGACCATGAGTTCTCTTAACAAAGGGAGTTGTTGTACCTCAAAATTTACCCTCTCATTTATCAAGAATTTGCTCACAAGATCTCCTTTGGCTCAAGACTGCACTAGGGTTGACTAGCTCAAGATACCTCCTTAAGCACTAATGACCAAAATTAGGGTTTGAGATTGCACAAGGATATTTGAACTTCCAATGCCCATATGACTTTCATGGATAATTATGGACCCTCAAGATTACTCATGTCAAATTTCAAGCTTTGGATCACTCTTTTGCTCAGTCAATTGAGCAGTTGACCTAAAAATCAACTATATTAGGGAAAAAGTCAACTATGGCCAATTTACAATCAAATTTCATAATTTTTTATCCACATCAACATTTTAAACTCATATGTATCATTTGATCAAGTTTGGACCACAATTCCTCAAGAAATTTGATCAAATCTTCAAAAGGGCAAAATGGTCAAAATTAGGGTTTTGATTGGGAAAGGATAATTTCTGATTTTTGACCTAGAAAATGATCAATTGGTTTAAGGCATGATATCAAGAGTCCAATTGCATCATTTTTACCTAATGACATGGTTCAAAATATTGCTCAAGTCCAATGGATTGACAGATGAATTTTCAGTCAACTGATCAAAAGTCAACTGTATACTGAAAAGTCAAACTTTGACTTTTTGGTCAAAATCAAATGCCAAAGATCACAATTCATCAAAACATGTCAAAAATATGAAACTTATTCATCAAGAAATCCAAAATTCAAGATTTCATTTTGAAAAGTTAAAATTTCTAAACTTAGAAATTTTTTCAAGTGTTGGAAATTTCTTTTTTTTTCTATAACTTTGAGCAAAATTTTCACCATGATGCAAGATGATTCAAGAGAAACTTCAAACATAAAAGTTGTAGATCTGAAAGAAATCTACAACTATGCTTTACACAACTCCATCCAAAAGTGCTTGGATCTCAAGTTATAATTTTAGGAATACATGGTCATGAAACAAAACACTTAGTGAAATTTTTTGCCCTAATTTGGTCAGGATTTTGACCTAACTTCATGGAACTTTTTCATATAGTTCCAAGGGGAATATTTAAAAGTAATTCAAATATGGGTTGTAGATCACATTACAAGATTTCCAAAATGTCCAGGTACTCCTTGAGATCATTTTTGAGTAGGGAGAATCGAAGAGATGAAGTTAGGGTTTTATCACTTGAATTACAAGGCATTTTGTGATGAACAAAATTCAAATTCAAAGTTATGCTGCATAACCTCTACTTTGCAGGCCTCAAACTTGATAGACACTCCATAATTAATTGTTTGCAAAGCTGTTAGAGGTCTCATCTCAAGCACTTAATGCAAGGCCATGCTTTATATCCATTTTGGGAAGAAAGTGCACATTGCCATTTTGATAAAGTGACTTTTTACACAACACTTTGAGCTTTGCACTTGCTCTTTTATGATCATACATGTCTTATAACACAAGGGAAATAGTTTAGACACTTACAATCACCTAACCCATGCTTGTACTTCACATTGAAACTTATTTTCCCTTTTTTCTTGAAAATCAAGTAACCTAGCAAGTAGCTTGTAACTGGTACTTCTGATTGTCAAAAGCTCTCAAACTCTTTTGCTTAGATACACAAACCATTTTCGACAAAACACACAAATGCTTAAGCTCTGAAAACACCTAGAACACAGAATCACCAAAAACACTTCAAAACTTGTCATTTCTGAGTTTTGAAGCCAATCTTCAAATCTACTCGTGCGTTTCTTGGCCTTTTGCTTTCAAAAGTTTCTAAACAACATACACAAACAATCCCAACCCCTGCAGCACAACTGTAACACCTCCATCATCATCCACCATTTTCAAAAACAGAGCTTTGCACTTGGACTTCTCCATAACTCCTCAGACACTTTCAGCTCAAGCTAAGCATCCCTTTAGCTTCCTGGGAACTTGAGGAAGCTAACCCAATCATTGGAACTCACTGAAAGCTGCTCAAACTTAAAACCCTATACCCTCTTGCAAGGTAAGTTTTCTAACTTTGGAACTTTTCATACAGGCATCATCAATGATTTATTTGTGAATGAAACATGTAGATATCATTTCCCTAAAGCTAACCATGTCCATAGTTTCCATTAATTTTGCTTGAGCTTAGAGAATTTTAAGATTGAAGTTTCTGAGATTTTTAGGGTTCAGATTAGGGCCATTAAAATTCATGTTTATCTTTGATCTATAATTATTTTGCTTGCATTTTTAAAATTGTGAGGAAATTTGCTACAAGTTTCATGTTTACAGTTTTCATTTTTGTTGAGATTTGAATGAGTTACAGAGGCTCTGGCTGGGCGTGAGGTTGAAGATGAAGTTCATGCCATGGGCTTGTTTACTATCATGTATTTATTGTTTTGATTATATAAACGAATGTATAGCCACCCCCCAGTGGTAGAAGCGCGCGCCCGTGACTTAAGGGACCTGGGTTCGAGCCTCAGTGGTACCCTTTTTGATTTTTTTTTATACATTTTCTTTGCATTATGACTTTTTGGCATGCGTTGGGCCTTCCTTGGGCTTTTGTTTTTTTTCTCTTGTTGCTAACCCCCTGTTTCACTTATACAGCCCCTGGCACATTTTATTTTCTTTTCTCATTTTCATTTTATTTATTTTCTTAATTATTTTTCTAATACTAAAAAAAAATCATAAAAAATATATAAATAGTAGATTTATATTTTAACATAGTTTATTTATTTTTTCTCACAAAAAATATTTTATTTAATCATACTTTATTTTATTTTTACTAATTGTTTTGTAAATTTAATTAAAAAAACTAGTTTTTATTTTATTTTCTTTTATATCAATTTAAATATATTATTTTATATAAAAAATACCAAAAATATTTTACAATACTATAAATTATTTTTAAAGACACAAATACCAAAAAATATTCTTTTCATAAACTTAATTTCTTTTATTTTTTAGTTAGTAGATTTAGGGTTTTATTTAAAAAAATTTCTTAGTAGATTTAAGTTTTTACTTTTTACTATTTTAACTAATTA